GGTGCGAACTGGGTATGGTATGAGCGAAAATCGGGGTTTTCCCGACATGGGAATAATAAAGAGCGCGGTCTTTTTGAGGGAATGGCGAATAGGAGGAACTGGGTTCCTCGGCGACAGTGCAGCAAGGTGATGTGCGCGGCGACCATGAGCAAAAACGACCCCTCCACGTAGCAAGTGCTGGTGTGTAGTGGTTGTGGGATTGGCCGGTAGGCCAAGGTGTGGCCTTTGGTACAGTTGGACAGGCCTAGAAGTATGGCAGATGTTCTTTATAATGAGATCCGCACATACTACAATCAGCCATGGGCCTAGCACTATAGGTTACGATGTTCGATTTTCACTCAGCGAATACGGGGATCGAGGTCAACTGTTGGCGACACGGGAGCGACGGAGCTCGACGGAAGGAATGAAGGGGTGGAAGACCGGCAAGGCTACCCCCTTTAGTTTTGCTAACCGGTCCTGATGGCGAGCCCGCTTGGTGGGACTGCAGGAGTACCAACAGGCTCCTCCCTCTCCTCCACTTTTCTTTCTTACCCTTTCCGTTTGTTTAAATTTTTGTTGTTTGTTTTGTTTTCTTACTTTTGGCTTTATTTTAAATCCGTTTTTGTTCGCGACCCTGTCTCGATACCGGACCAACGATGGACCCAAGAGCCTAGCTCAGTGGGCACACCCCTGAACTGTGAAATGCAGACCTAAGTTTGAACTTCTCTAGAAGGAGACAAGTAGAATATTGCAATTTGAGTGAAACACCGTAACTTTGGGTCACCTAGGCCCAGTCGACTTAATGATGATATTCCATGACCAAAGTCATGTCCTGGTCCTTCAGGGGAACCGATGGTTGACACCGGCAATGATGAGCTAACAAAAAGGGGAATCCAATACTCACCTTTTTATTCGGTTGAGGCAATATTGTCGTACCGGCCGAGAGCGGGAATTCTAATTAAAATGAGCGGACGGACAAAGAGAGAAAGGGGAAGGTTGACGACAAGATGAGAGTAGAAGTTGAAAGAAGACGGAGAGCTAGAGGGGAAGACTTAGAGTCACTTAGCTCATCCGATCCTTTTCAAAGGCGGGCAATCTAAGGTTTGAAGTTGAGCTTTTTGGCCATGGCGAGTCCAACCATAGTGTTGAAATTTGGGATTGACGAGTGATGCGAGTGATACAACAATTGGAGGTTGTACGGTATAGAAAATGAGGCGTTGTACAAAGGAAGGAGTTGGCAATGAATCTACCCGTGTTGTAGTGACAGATTCATTCAGTATTTGCATATTTTGAGAAGGCGCGGAATGCGCACGTGTTGCTACTGATTGGGCTCTCCGCCACATTCGTTCTTCATGATTGCGATGCTCCTATTGTGGTCGCCTACATCAAGCAGTCCATCGTCGTGGTGCTCCTTCCAAGAATAGTCGGTGGCAGTCGTTCGCGTGATGTACGTATCCTTGGTGATTGTCTGCGTCACGTAAGTAAAATTGGCGACATGAACCTGGCTAAGGTGTTAGTCAAGTACATTAGGCAGCAAAGGGTAGGAAAGATAGGGAATGGAACGCCCTTACCTCGAAGGGCGCAACAACGGGCGAGTCTTCCCATAGTCTGGTGTAAGATTGATTCACATTGCGCACACTTGGGAAGTAGTGGGACGAGCACCCACCATCGTGAGTGACGCGGCGCTCGACATTTCCAAGGAAAGGCGACTAGTCGTAATCCCGGTCCCCTCGATTGATCGTCACCCCGATCCTATAGATCACGCTCATCGTGGCGACTGTGGCCGTGAGTTATTAAGGTGGTAGTTGTGTTACTATCGGCCTCCTCGGACCTCGTAGTGGCCGATTATCTTGATGGTTTAGTCACTGCTTCGACGATCTCCCCTTACGCAATAGCTTGCCTGCTCGATCATGACCTTGTGGTGGTGCTTTGCGTAGCCATCGTCCTAATATAGGCGGCCCCCTCTTTATGCGAATGTATCTTCCCATGCTTAAGCGGAAGATACGTTTTGGTCAATGTTGGGCATAACCTCATGTATTGCGGTATGAGCATGCGTGAATAGGGTGTGAGGAGATAGCGTGCGGGAGAATGAGCATAAAGGAGAGTGGGGAGTGTTCAAGGGAAAGAAAGTAGAAGAGAAAGTGACTATCTACCTGGCCGAGGTAGCAATAAAGGTTTGATCGAAAGACGGATTGTTGACTTTAGGCTGCTCAGAGAATCGACAATGTATCAGCAAGGGAAGATTTGTCTGTATTCTAATGGGCGAGTAGTGGTCGTGGCAGCATGAGATTGGAGTGAATCTTTCGGTGTTTAGAAGAAGAAACATCCCCTCTCTTTGGCGGGTTGTGACTGGCAGACGGTGGCAACCCATTGGATGATGTATCTGTTGGTGCTCTAGTAGAAGATTCACTCTCGTTTTGCATATTTGGAGGGAAGTAGTGCTCACCTGACAAGGCGAATCGGCCATATACTAACGGAGGAGTCGCTTTCAATCTGCACTTGTTGTGGGTAGAACGGTGGGCCTGGCATCCTCCCTTACGATGACCAGTCTGATCCAAGTGTCACCCTTGTTGTCGTGGGTTATGCTTTTGTCGTAATTTGTTGAGCCGCGAGTTGTTGCGACCCGACGATGGCGACAAGTACTATTTGGGCAAGACTTTTTATTTCTTGGACTGACGTAACTATGGTCATGCTCAATCTGAAGGAGTACTGTTATGGTTGTTCACTCGGACTGCAGGGCGTTGTTATTCTTTATGACAGCAAGCCGCCGTTCAAGTGCTACAGTTTGAAGCCTGATATTTGAGCCTACCGATGTTATTTGCTGCAGCAAACAACTAACTTCGTTACGTCACCGTGATTTTACTACTCCGTAGAACGGCAGATGACGGGTTCGAGTAGCTGCCTTGTTGTCGTGGGTTATGCTTTTGTCGTAATTTGTTGAGCCGCGAGTTGTTGCGACCCGACGATGGCGACAAGTACTATTTGGGCAAGACTTTCTATTTCTTGGACCGACGTAACTATGGTCATGCTCAATCTGAAGGAGTACTGTTATGGTTGTTCACTCGGACTGCAGGGCGTTGTTATTCTTTATGACAACAAGCCGCCGTTCAAGTGCTACAGTTTGAAGCCTGATATTTGAGCCTACCGATGTTATTTGCTGCACCAAACAACTAACTTCGTTACGTCACCGTGATTTTACTACTCCGTAGAACGGCAGATGACGGGTTCGAGTAGCTGCTATTTCTGGCCGTTGCCAGTTACTACGGTGTTACCATTTCAACTCAAAGGTTTGTCCGAACAGCAGGTTATGTAGCAGGCAGCCACTTCGAACTGTTGACAGGTTACTGGTTCAAGACTGCTGCCTGACGCTCTAACACGAGGTGTTGGAGCTGGTGCTGTGAATTGCTGCTGAAGGCTATGTATGTGGAAACCTCTTGTTAATGTACTTTGGGGAACTGCTATCGGACTCTTAGTCTGGCGATTGTTGGTCATCAGATTGCTGTGGCCGATGCTGTTGGTTTTTGAACAGCTACCGCCACATGCGACGTGCCTTATTGTGCATCCATCGTGCCTCTTCGTGCGTGCTGCTTTTCAACGGAGTATTGCTGAGCTTTGCTTGCAATTTGAATAGAGCATGGGAATGGGCTCTATTTGAACGCAGCCCTTCTAGGCTGCGTAGCTCAGTTTGGCCAGACGAGAGATACTGTGACTTCGGAAGGGGTGTTCAGGCGCTGTGAGGGAGTTGTTGTTGCGACGTAGAGGTTGTCAGGTGTTTTGGCTTCGGTTTGGTGATCATGATGCGATTGTAGGCCACCATTGTGGGGCCCTCAGGCAATTGAGGATTACAAGTCCCTGTCACTCTGAGAGCTCCCCTCTTGTATCTGAGGGACTCAATGACATCTACTTCTTCCCTTCTTATTCTAAGTCTAGTCTGACTGGTCAGAGAGGAAGGCGACAGGCGGGATTGGAAACCCGTAATCCGCAACCAGACCTGGTGGGAGGTCAACCCACCGACTGCGGGAGCTCTGCCGGAGCCCAGCCGAGGTTCTGGAGGCAGGTAACATTTCGGCATACAATCATCCTCATGTGTGATCCTATCCCTTAACACTGTACTACCCTCTATCCGTCTGAAAGTATGACTAAGAAAATTTATTAATTTTGGTTTGTTTAAATTCAAGACTTGATCTGAAAAAGTTTATTTAACTAAGTATGAGAATTTATATTATTTGCATGAGTTCAGACATAATGAATGGGGGAAGGTGGGAGGAAGGTTGGTTTTGCTTGGTTATGACCGGGTCAACCATAGGTTGTCCATTCTAAGTATGTGGGCTCAGTGCTATGTTTCTCTTTGTATATCGGGCTGTTTGCTTGACTTTTAGAGGCTGGGGCACTCCATACGTTGGACGGCCCGGTCGCATGTTTTTCTTGGGGTTTTTGAATGGAGGATGGGACCCATAAGTTGGGTACTCAGAGTCCTTGTTTCTTTTGTTGCTAAACACAGTTGGGCACATTCTAAGTGTGCGTGTCCAGTTCTATGTTTATTTCTGAGGGGAACACAGACACACCATAAGTTGGTGTGACCAAGTCATGAGTTGTGAATATAAAAGGAACCAGAGTATATATATCATGGTTACCAACCCGACGTCCGGACCCCGATCCGGACAGTCCAGTGTCCGGTGTCAGGTTCCGGTGTCCGGTTCAGAGTGTCCGGTTGGACCCCGATTTTGAAAAATTCGAATTTTTTTTTGGGGTTCTTAGGCCGTTTACTTGGGCCTGGGGTAGAAAAATAATGCTGACGTTTTTTGAGAACCGGTACCCCAACCTGACAGGCCCTGAAAGGGACCTCTGTGTGATCACATTGGCACGCGAGTTCACTGCTTCACTCTTATTTGGATGGAAACTTGGTGCATTTGAGCTCTCTTCTTGGTACATGACTATCTGACATCTGCGTGATTTTGCAACTTGATTTTTTGTCCATCACTCTCGCTCATATTCCTTGCATTTTATTGACGTGGGAGGAGGGTCTGGTCGATGGGAGTGGCGACCAGGGCTGGGAGGGCGATGAAGGATGGGAGGGAGATGAAGGATGGGAGGGCGATGAAGGATGGGAGGGATATGAAGGATGGGAGGGCGATGAAGGATGGGAGGGCGATGAAGGATGGGAGGGGCCAGCAGGGATGGGAGGGCAATGACGAATGGGAGGGTGCTGAAGGATGGGAGGGTGATGAAGGATGGGAGGGAGATGAAGGATGGGAGGGGCGAGAAGGGATGGGAGGGCGATGACGGCAACAAAGATGAGCGACATTGGATACTGTGTTGGTGGGGCTGAGGGCGATGACATTGGGACACGTGTTCACTACTTTGCACTTATTGGGATAGAATCTTGGTGCATTTGAGCTTTATGCTTGGTGCCTTTTTTTTGTTTTTTTTTTAATTATTATTAATCCGGACAACCGGACACCGATAGAGCAAACTGGACTGTCCGGTTCCGGATGTCTGGATGTTCGGTTTGATCCAGACACGGGTCCGGTGTCCGTGTCCAGTTGTTTGGTTGTCCGGGTCCGGGGCAACCATGATATATATCATTGGCAGGCTAGACGCCATAAGTTGGGAAATCTAGCAAACTGCGAGGTAACTTGGACAGGATGGACTTATCCATAAGTCGGGTAGTCCGGTCCTATGCCAATGATAACACAAGACGCAAAAAGGTAATATAAAACTTGGCTATTTTTCTAAACATAATTGAGACTTGGTTGGGGATCTCCATAAGTTGGAGTGACCTGACCATCGATCGGAAGAAAGAAAGAAGTTTTGAGACTTATTTGTTGAATGTAGTTGAGTTGCGGAGGTTGGGTGAACCCATAAGTTGGGGGTTGTTCGGTCATACACACTCGTTGTTTGTCTAACAGGCTAGTCTACCCATAAGTTGGGTAGCCTGGTTCTATGCTATATGTCATTGTCTGGGCTTGCTAGCCACAACATAAGTTGGTGTGTTCTAGTTTGAGGTCCTTGTCCAGGATATCCCAGGTCTTAGCTTAGCACAAAAGGGTTTCCCCTATGTGTTGAGCATTTGCGCGCTGCCCCTCATGGGACCCTGCCTAAAGGACAAGAGCACGAACAGGGTTGAACGACTCATTCTTCAGTCGTTCAATATCTCATTCACGATACCTCATCTCTGACATTTCAATCTCGTACGCAACGCCGAGTCTCGTGGAAGGTCGAGCAGTTGTGGGTAACGTGTGAAGCATCGCCATGATAGTTAGTTGCGAGAGTTCGCATAACTGAGTATTATGTTTTTCTCTAGCAGAAACCTCCCTTTTAAGCATTTTTGTGCGCGGGCTACTCATGAAACCGCACATGGAATAAGTTATGAGTCAGACGTTTGCGAAGGAAACGACATGAGGCTTGGTCCTTTTTCTTACAAACGACTGTCGTGGCCAACGCATGCACATGTTTTGCATAGGCTCAGGTCTATGAATATTTTTTTAGGATTGCCCGCGTACAACAAATTGATTTTTTTCTTGTTTATAGTTATTTGTGGTGGAACGATAAGGTTCCGGGTAGAAGGGTTAGCGTGTAGCTGGTGGTGCGCCAGATAACTCACCACCACTCCAAATTCTCTTCTGGCCTCGACGCCAACTTTCCCTACACCCATAGGGGCACCGCAGGGTGCAGAAGATGGACGGGTGTTCAGTACGCTCTTGCGCCTGCTAAAGGATTGACCCCTTTAGAGCGCGCATCAGCCGACGTCTGAACGTCGAATGCAATCCCATGACTAAGATGGGACCGTACCTTTATGGGCTCCAAATAGTACTCCATCATTACGACTGCTTGTATTCATGCATGGCTAGTCATTATGATAAAGGACTGGCGAAGTAACTATTATTTATGCGAGGTCGTGCGTGTGACGTTTGTGCATTTTAATCCAAGAACAGTTACGGGTTAAGTGGAAAAAAGGGTGAGGCAAGATATTGCAAGTAGGAACGATTTTTCATTGTAAAGTGTATCGTGTGGTTAGAATAGTCATCCTAGTTGACCGACGTAGGGTCACGTTTGAGAGATCAGCGCCTCGAGCAACTATTCGTGCGGGGGTCCGATTCGGGCGTTAACCGTGCGTATCCCCGATGCTACAGCGAACGAGAAACGCCCTCGGTTGGACCACTTCTGCGATTGCATACAAAAAACCTTTGCATGTGGTCAAGTAGCTCGGCGGCTCTCGCGGGGGGAGGTAAGCAATGCCTCACGTGGCCCTATCCTGCCATAGGGGTTCACGAGAGGTACGGTTGGCGCACTCGGTCGGAGCGGCAAAACACTCTACGTGACAAGTCCTGCCGAATCATGCGTGACGCGGCCGGGAGGGTCGCACTGTGGGACCGATGCGCTCGACAGATAGCGCTGTTGTCGGGGATCTCGGCTGCCTATCGGAGTCCTTCGTGAACGAACCCAGGTTAAGTGCAGGTTGATGATCCAGGCAAAATGACAAACCTTATTTTGGATCTGATTGGTATGATAAGTTTTGACGATCATATTGGATTAGGCATATGAAAAGCCGTATATGTTAGTACAGTACGTATATGGGAAAGCAGGTGGGCATAGGAGTACAAACACAACGTACCGAAAGGTGCACGAGCTACATTATCGGGATAACATGGGGCAAATGATTGACAAATATTTTTAATCTTGTGTGTCATGCTAGGAGCAGGCATCCCTTAAACCTAGGGAGCCCTTCACCGAAGATATATACGTGAGGTTGGAGCGGTCGTTCATCTGGACCTATTGACAATGCCCTTGGGAATAGGAGGGTATAATTATGTTTTTGATGTTTGAGACAACCTTTCAGGTTTCGTGGATAGCAAGGTCATTCGCACTAAGACTAGTGAAGTGCAGACTGTTGCATTGAGAAGTATTACCTTCACTATCCTTTCGTCTCAAGGTTCGTAATGAATAGAAGATTTGAATTCACTTGTGCAGAAGTGAAAACACTCTTGAGGGAATATGGTGTGATCGCCGAGTACACGACTACGGCACACCCTCAAGCAAACGCACCTGTGGAAAGAGGATATAGCACCATTACGAACCTTCTCACAAAATGTATAGATGACATGCCTAATCAACGGCCAAACTTCCTAAGAGTTGCCTTTTTCGTGGAAAATATTACTGTTCAGAGTACCAACTACACGTTGGTTACGTTATGGTATGGTAGACATGCGACGTTCCCTATTGAGAGTTTCTTGAAAACTTGGAGGCGACAGATCCTCGAGATAACTTTGTCATTCGAGGAGTTGCTTGATCTAAGGGCGCGTCCAATTGGAGCCATAGAGGACAAAATTCAGGACGCGGCGAGTAGAGTGGCTTTTGACCGTGATAAGGACAAGTTCAGGTGGGACAAGATGGCGCGAGTACGAAAAGAGCCTCTTCACGTTGGAGATATCGTATTATTGTACAACTCGTCCCTGGAGAAACAATGGTCAAGGAAATTGGACACATGATGGTTGGGTCCGTAGAAAACTACGAGATGTGGTGAGCACGGACATATCAGATTAAGGAGTTGGATGGGACGACATAGAAAAGCTGGGTATCTGGCTCAAGTTTGAAGAAATTTGTGGCGCGAGATGATGTGAGCATGGACATGGTAAGCAAAGTTGTCATTTGAGAAAAAGAGCAAAATCTTAGTATAGAAAAAAAGAGATTGCTATATTAGAGTTGTGTTTTTAACTTGGGATAGAAGGGTAGGTTATATATGAGGATAAGGGTTGTATATGTATGTATATATATATATGGGTACCTAGGTAAGTATGGGAGGGTTATATACCTGCTATTTGTGTTAGTCTGACATGCTTACCCTATGTGCCCTTGTTGTTTCTTCCTTGTTGTGTAGTCTTGACATTGGTGACAGCCATGCCAAGAGGGAAGGGCAGGGGCTGGGCCAATGGAAGCTTCTCTGAGGGCGACCAAACCGGGGGAACGTCAGAGAACTACCAGTGAGAGCAAGCCTCCTATTTTCACTGGAGGAAGTGTGGAGATTTTCATGAGCCGGTTTGAGGCACATGCTGTGGAGTTAAGATAGGGTGTAACCATGATGTTGGCAGAGGTGCGAGACAGTGGTGAGTGGGTTGAGCCTATTGCGAGATTTAAGGGAGTCGCTCACTTGGGAGCAAATTGAGAGGAAGATGAAAGGGTTGCATCCATCGCCAGTGGAAGAGACGACTTGCGTATTCACTTTGACTCTACCAACTTGGAAGAGTTCATTTGGGTTTATGAGTTGTTTGCTGATGTGCAGGGGGTCATGTGGGAGTCGAGGGCAGGTAGCTTCATCCAGTTTGTGAGGAAACCCATCAAATCCTTTCTTAGGTCTGTTGTGGAGCGAGCCACAATTTGGAATGATTGTAAACGTCTGCTGAGAAACTCTTATTCTCCTGCATGACAGGCAGACAACAAGGAAATCATGGAAAGGAAGATAAAAGAGTCAGGAGAAGAAGAAGGGCGAGTAGGGGAAGGTGCTCTATCTTCGAAGGCACGAGGAGAGAAGAAAAGAAAGAAAGAGCACAACTCATGTAGGCATGAGAGAATCGGCAAACGACTTACTGGAGAGATGGAGGCAGAGAAAGTCCTTGAGGGTTCAAGGCCACCTCCAGAGCCTGCGCAGATGCTTGATGTACATCCTGAGCCACAAGGAGGACCTGAGTTGTGTTATGAGCCAACATGATAAGTTCTCTTGAAGGAAGCTACTGCCAACGAAAAAGAGATGGACAAAGAGGAGAGAGTGGCACGAGAAAAGGAGATCAAGATCCATCTCATACTAAAAAACTTGGCAGAGATGAGGGACAAGATGCTGGAAGGGAAACAACTAGTAGAGGTGGAGGACAGAAGGATGATCCTTGCATTCTAACTGAGGTGTGGGAGAGCTTTGAGAGATTGTTGAATGCAGAAGGCAGGCCTTCAGCAAAGCATTAGGAGAGGAAAGTTGAAACTCTGAAGCAGGAAATGGGAAGACAAGGGAAGGAAGTAAAGGCTGTGAAAACAGAGATGGTGGATCTCTGGGCAGAAAATGGAGCGCTCTGACTGCTGAACCAGACCCTTAGCAAGGTCACTGAAACCCTGAGAACGCAGATTCAGATGCAGCAAACTTCCTTTTAGGCAAAGGAAGTCGATTGGGAGAAGAGACTGCGAGATGTGGAAGCTAAATTTGCCCAGCAGACGCTTGCAACAGTTGTGGATTGGATTGAGGTCCAAAGGTATGGCATCAGGGGACAACCCGCTAAAGACCTCTCCAAACATCAGAAGAGGGAAGCAAGGGCAGAGCAACA